CTTGCTTGCTGAAAGTGAAGAGGACTTGAAGCACTTACTGATGAAGATCAAAGACTACAGCCTTCAGTATGGATTACACCTCAACATAAAGAAAGCAAAAATCCTGACAACTGGACCATTAAGCAACATCATGATAAATGGAGAAAAGATTGAAGTTGTCAAGGATTTTATTTTACTTGAATCCATAATCAACGCCCATGGAAGCAGCAGTCAAGAAATCAAACAATGTATTACATTGGCCAAATCTGCTGCAAAAGACCTCCTTAAAGTGTTAAAAAGCAAGATGTCACTTTGAGGACTAAGGTGCTTCTGACCCAAGCCGTGGTATTTTCAATTGCCTCATATGCATGTGAAAGCTGGACAATGAATAAAGAAGACAGAAGAATTAATGCCTCTGAATTATGGTGTTGAAGAATATTGAATATACCGTGGACTGCCAGAAGAATGAACAAATCTGTCTTGGAAGACGTACAGCCAGAATGCTCCTTAGAAGAGAGGATGGAGAGACTTCATCTCACTTACTTTGGACATGTTATTGGGAGGGACCAGTCCCTGGAGAAGGACATCATGCTTGGTAAAGTAGAGGGTCAGCGAAAAAGAGGAAGCCCTCAACGAGATGGATTGACACAGTGCTGCACCAATGGGCTCAAACATAGCAATGATTTTGAGGATGGCTCAGGACCGGGCAGTGTTTTGTTCTGTTGTACATAGGGTCACTAAGAGTAAGAATTGACCCCACTGCACCTAATAACAACAGCAAAAAAAAAAAAAAAAAAAAAAAATTTCCATATGTTTTTCAGTAAACCACTACTTGTAAGATTTAAGAATATAAGAATTCAAAAAGGATTAAATAGTAAATCCATATTAATCAGAAACTCGTAAACAGCTGATCATGTTTGGTTTGCTACTGGGTTTTTCTTGGGTGCTTGTTTTTGTGATTTTATGTTGCAAACAGATAACAGTGATTTTCTGTTGGAAAATTAAACATATTAACATCTCATTGTATTTGGCGAAAAGAACAGGCTCTCTCTACGGGATATCATGAATTCCAGATGCCCCCTCCAATGCAAACAAGGTTGAGAATCACTGGAGCAGAGTAGATCACTGGAGGGCAGGACCAGGTCCAGCTCATCTCTATATTCTTACCCTATCTTTGGCTGCCATCCGTTGTAAGGAGCTGTAGTGGGCAACCGCATATTCCAGTAGGGCCCCAAACACGAAGCTGAAGCAGATCCCCAGGTACACATCGATGGCCTTTATGAAGCAGTTGGTGTTGGGAAGAGAAGTGCGGGATCCGATCATCAGTGTGGTCATTGACAACACAGTGGTCACACCTGGAAAAACAAGCAGGCGATGTTCCCACATTCATGGTCAATTAACCCTCCACTCAAGAGATGGCAGGACAAGACTCAGAAATAGAACATATCTCATTTTGAAAGATTTGTGACCTTCCGGAACAGGGTTTATTCACCCATTATTTACAGTTATAAATGATGTGCTTTTCTAGATGTTTTGGCTTCTGTCTTCTCCTTGGAGGGGGGATATTCAGTATACAAAATAATTGACAAGAGACCATCTAATCACATTTCTCCTTTTTGTGTCACTCTAAAACATAAGTTTAAAAATGCGCTACTCCAAAAATAGTCTCTTGCTCTTGCTCTCTTTCTTTGTCCTTTCTCTGTCTGTCTCTGTCTCTCTTTCCCTCTTTCTCTCTCCTTCCTTTTCTCCCTTTTTCTTTCTGTTCTCCTCCCTTCCAACAAAGACTCTCTCAAGAAACCAGCTTCTGGAATTAACCCATGAATATTAATGAAAACAATGAACACTGGTAGAAGAAATAAATAAATAAGGACCTGATAACCCAGTCCTTAGACACCTCCTGTTGGAGTGGCTTACCAATGCAGGTTCTTGCAGGAACTGAATCGAGGGAGATCCAAAATGAAACCCAGGATAACACCACCAGGAAAGTGGAAGGAACATAGGTTTCCAAAATGAAATACAGGACATTTCTCCGAAGCTCAAATTGCAAGACCAATCGTGTATAATTTCCTGATAAGGTAAACAAGATATGGGAAATCATGTCTGCTCACATAGCAGGATGTTTCCCTATAGGATGTTTAACTTAGATATAGCCACATTACATCCTCTGCAAAACCTAGTTAACTGGATATTCCAGTTAATCAAGAAGTCTCAGTATGGTTTCAAGAAAAGGAATTGCTGTTGCATAGAATGGATTTATGGGGGTTTGGGTGCCCCTCTCACCTATGATATTCTTCTTATGCTTCTCTCTATCATAAAATGCCTACAGCATTATAACTGCTGGTTTCCTGGATGTCTACCTCTCTAGACTGTGTGCCCCTTGGGGGCAGATTCTGAGTCTTTCAATTCTGCAGACGTAAAGCAGTTGTTCAATAAATACCTACTGAATGAAGACTAGCCGTGGTAGTCCATTTTACAAGAATACTACAAAATAGATCTGATGCTAGTGCATATAATTTAATTTTTGATGACTTCAGATTGCACCTCAGAGTCATTCTTAGGAAATGATCCATGTATAATAGATATGAGAGAATTATCATTAATGGAGTTCTGTGTGGCAAAGAGGCTACTATAGCACCAAACATAGACCCATGGGTTAGAGTGCCAAGTTGTGCCTCTATTGAAGGGTAGTGAGCAAATAGCACAGAGAACAGTAGAGGCCAGCAGTAGGCCGGAAGGAAGGGTGAAGAGATTGTCCTCTGGGAATAAGAGAAGTCTGGCTCAGGTTGGAGTTGGGGAAGACAGAGTAGCAGAAGGGAGGACCCCCCACTCCCAATTAAAGCCTGAAATTTAAAACGATACCATTAAATAGCTAAAACAACAGAAACATCACTGGTGAGATACAGGCTAGAATAAAACCCTATAATTTCAGAAATACTTGGGACTCTGGAGATGAACAGATTCTAGCGGGCCACATTGTTGTTGTGTGCTGTCAAGTCGATTTAAACCCATAGCAACTCCGAATAACAGAGTACAACTGCCCCATAGAGCTTCCTAAGCTGTAATCTTTATGGGAGCAGATCACCAGGTGATTACGCCCACGGAGGCGCTGGAGTGTTTGAACCGCTGGCCTTTCAGTGAGCAGCGGAGTGTTTAACCGTTGCGCCACCAGGGCTCCTTTAGGGGCCCGTAGATATTCCTTTATCTATGGATAAATGATTTTTATGATATGATGTGATATTTATGATATCTATGATATTACTTTATAGGTATGGAAATTGAGGCACGAGGAGTTTAAGTAATTTGTGAAAAAACCCTTAGTTAATGGCAGAAGCGAGATTAAAAACCAGGTCTTTGGTCCTCTGGTCCAGGGACGTTCTGTTATTCTATTCTACCTGCTTCACTCCCTTGATTTTGAAGTCTATGTTTCAAGGAACACTTAGAATTAATATTTGACTAAATAATGACCCTCTTTTGTATCGGAAGTAGGTGTGTGCTACCTGGAATTAAATAATTCTGGAGATGGAAACCATTTTTACATGAAACAAAAAATGGGAATCTAGATTTGGTAAAATATGACAACTATAACCCCAGTTCATGAAACCGTTTTTAAAAAAGAGAACGTATTAATTAATTTGTCCATTATAAAGTAATACATGCTAGTCACTTAAATTTCAGAAAATAATAAAAGCAGGAACAGTCCTCTTTCCTTCAGTCTTTTCTCTATGCATGGTGTTCGGTTTCTAATTTTTATGTAGTCATGATCCTGCTGTACAGATAACTTTGCCAGAATGCTTCTTAAAAGCAAGCATGGCAAGACTTTGTCTTGCTTACTTTGGACATGTCATCAGGAAAGACCAATCACTAGAAAAGGACATCATGTTTGGTAAAGCAGAGGGTCAGTAAAAATGAGGGAAAACCTCCATAAGGTGGATTGATTGACACAATAGATGCAGCAATGTGTTCTAACGTACAATCGATTGCGCGGATGGTACAGGACCGGACGTTTCGTTCTGTTATACATAACATCACCGTGAGTTGGCGCCAACTCAATGGCAATTAACAACAGGCTCCATTAAAGCATTTAGTAGTTTTTTTCAGGGTGCGAATACGAAAATAAGCATTCTTAATATGATCGGGAGGAATTGAGAAGAAAATGTCACTGCTTATATATAAAATTAGTTTCTTTTTTGAAAACATCTATTAAAAAATTCCTAGATTATGAGATCCAGCTCTTTCAATAAAGTGAATGAGTAATTCCTTCCTGCCAGCTTAGAATCAATAGGTTGTTTGTGCTATTGTTGGGTACAGCTGATGTCTTCACCTGTGAACTGTGGTCTGGTTTTTTTTTTTCCTTCAGTGGCAGAGAACCAGTTCTCCAGTTAGAAACACCAACAGATTTTATGCACGGGGATGCTGCGGAATTTGAGCAATCATTACAATGTATCTGGAGGTAAGTGGTGCACAGCTGCAGAGCTGGCCCAGAGGTGGCTCTTCAGTGAAACGTTTCAGTCCTGGCTGTGCAATAGGTACAAGGGCTGCGCCCAAACTTGACTCGCCCACCCCCGCCCTGCTGAGCGGTCCCTGAACCCATAGGGGGTAAAGTGGAGAAGGGGTGGTATTTATGACTCAGGGTGCAACCCTCCATTTTGGTTTGGTTATTTCCATTTTGTACAATTTGTTACATAAGTTACCTGTCTCCTGCTGTGACTGGGTGACTAAGGTGAAATACCGTTGTATGGTGTACTGAGCAAGCCGCAGGTTTTCCAGCCCACGCACAGAGTCATTCCCTCTCAGCCACCTGAACTCCACGTCATTCCCATCGTAACCCCCTGCAAATAAAAGGGCATCACGGTCAATGCAAAGTCGTCTCAGATTGAACTGGTCTGGAAAAGTCTACGATATGGAAACAGCATGAGCTTTATCTTGATAGGGATATGTCCAAACCGGGCATGCTTCTCAAGTGTCAATTTAGAATGATCAGTGTCAATTTAGAACGAGCCCCTGGTTGATGTAAATGGTTAAGTGCTTGGCTGCTACCCAAAAGATTTGTGGTTCGAGTCCACCCAGAGACACTTTGGAAGAAAGCCTTGGTGATCTACTTCTGAAAAAGTCAGCCACTGAAAACCCAATGGAGCACAGTTCTACTCTGAAACACACGGGGTTGCCCTGAGTCAGAGTCAACTCCACGGCAACTGGTTTATTTCGAATGAAGCGAACTGCTAGGACTATTTGCCTGTGGCTAAGAACAGGTATTATGCTAAGCATTATTTAGACCTGGTGGATGAAAAACCCCTACGAGTGGCCTCCCTCATTATTTAAATATTTATTGAACACGTATCTGTGAACACATAAAGGCCTATGCTAGATATTGCCCTTCAGGACCATCTAGCAGCTCTGACAGTGTTCTTAGGGACTTCAGAACTGGTCTGTCTGTATTTCCACATTGGCATAAATAAAAAAAAAAAAATTAACTGCATCCACTTTATTAATGTCTGTAAAATGTGCTTTTTAATAAATTTCGATTCAGTTTTACAGTATAGTTGATAATAGTAACAACAGTTAGCTTTTATTAAACATTATTTTGCAATCTGATACATTCTGTTTGGAATGTCATCACAAACTTGAAAGCTAGACAATTCTATATTTTTTTCAATTCTAAAATGAACTTCTTTTTCATATTTTCTGAAATTGGGATGGACCTTCTAACTGATTTATATTTTTAATGTAGAGCTTACTTTTCTTTTTTCCTAAGAAGTTATTATTCAATCAATGGTGTGCCCTAGAATTGAGAAGCTACATGTTCAACCCATTTTATAGGTGAAAATGCTCAGATTCAGAGAGGTTAAGTAACTTGCTCAAGGTAATAAGGAAAACACGTTACTAAGGATGGTATCTGAGTAAATTCTAATCCCAAAGTCCAAGGATGATGATGATGGTAATAACAATAATTTGTATCTTTAGTGAAAGGTTACATTTCTAAGTACTTTGTAACAGTATCACCTCATTTAATCCTCAAAATACCTCTCTGGGAAGATAAACAAATGGTTAATAAGCACATGAATATATGCTCACGATCATTAGTCATTAGAGAAATGCACGTCAAAACTGCAGTGAGATACCACTTCACTCCTGTCAAAACAGCTATAATAAAAAAGACACAGCGTGTGGAAAAACTGCAACAGTCATACATTGCTGGTGGGATTGTAAAATTGTACTGCCACTTTGGAAAACCGTTTGCAATTTCTTAAAAACTTAAACATGAATTTACCATGTGACCTGGCATTCCACTCCTAGGTATCTGCCCAAGGAAGATAAAATCATATTCCACACAAACACTTGTACACAACTATTCATTGCAACATTATATATAATAGCCAAAAAGTGGAAACAATCCAAATGTCCATTAACTGATGAATGGATAAATAAAATGTGATAGATAGATACCGATACAAAGGAATACTACTCTTCAATAAAAAGGAATGAGGTATTGATATATGCTACAAAATGGATTAGCCTCAGAAACATACTAAATGAAAGAGGTCAGTCACCAAGGACAACATATTGTATGATTCCGTTGATATGAAATGTCCAAAATAGGCAAATCTATAGAGACAGAAAGTAGATTAGTGGTTGCCTGGGGCTGGTGGTTGGAATGGAGAGTGATTGTAAATGTGCAAGAGGGAATTTTTTGGGGGGTGATAGAAATGTTCTATCACTGGATTGTAGTGATGGTGGCACAGCTCTGTACATTTACTAAACTTTTACTAAAATTGTACGCTTAAAATGGATGAAATTTATGGTATGTAAATTATACTTCATTAAAACTGTTTTAAAAATCACTCTTTTATTCATGGACTATTAATCTATCCATTTAACTGATGAGGAAACTGAGGTCCAGAGGGGTTAATTACTCATCCAAAGTGACACAGTTTGTGATGGGAAAACCCCAGTGATTCCAGTACCTGTGACCTTAAACATGGAACTATATAGCCTTCATTTTCAAAGGCAACTGGGAAACGTGATGCAGTATTGGGACTGACACTCTGTTAAGTCTTAGGTTATGGAAGCCACTATCTAGCAAGGGTTATCTCTCCTTCCATAGGGCAGAGAAGCATACTTAAGAGCCCTTAGGGGATTTCCAGGTAAGAGTGTCCCTGGGCTTTTTCTTGGAAACACCCAACATGTACTGAAGCTAGCTGTCAAAATAGGTCTAGGATCCCAAAAAGGAGTGGGAGGCGGGGGGAGTGTTATAAAAATGAGTGGAGTCCCTGGGTGGTGCAAATGCTTAACACACTTGACTACCAACTGAAAGGTTAGAGATTTGAGTCCACCCAGAGGTGTCTCAGAAGAAATGCCTGGCGACCTATTTCTGAAAAATCAGCCACTGAAAACCCTTTGATTCTCAAGAAGTTCTTTCTCAAGTACTCTGATACAGGTGGGGTCACCATAATCAAAATCGACTCAACAGCAACTGGTTTTTATAAAAGTGAGCTGTAAAGTCCCTACTTGGGCACTTGGGTTTTACAACCAGTAAATGCTCATAATCTTTGCATTATCCCTGTTCTGTCCCTGGGTGAATATGAACAAGTGTGGGATGGTATCAAATCTTTCATAGGGATGGGGTTAAAAAAAACACCAAAACCCTTGGTGAGGTTTCTGTGCCCAAATAACTGCTAATAAACATTTAGCAAAAGCATCTTCTGTTCACTGGGGACGGGATTTGTGCAAGTAGAGTGCTGAAGTTTCCAGGAGAATCTCCCTCCTGGGATCTGAAATGAGCACAGGCATGACACGTGGAGGGCAATTACTTTTTCCGTGTGGCACTGCAGATGAGTTCTCTTTTTGATAACCTCAAGTTTTATTCTGCCGCCAAACAGCTGTATGTCTTCAAGAAGGTTTTGCATGCATTTAATCAATAAGATAATTAATTTGTCTGAGTCTCTAATTAAACCTCTACCTGTGAAAAATGACTGCTGCCTCCTAATGACTTGCTACTCGGATGTTGGAGCACTTGCATCCTTATTACGTAAGGAGGGCCCACTGGTCTCCAGCTCTTGACTAGTTTTTGCTCCCTTGTATGAGCCCTGCCTGATGCCTTAATAAATCCTGTCTGTAGCACTGTTTTCCCAGGTCACCTATCACAGGTGCAGCCTGCTCAACCACTGAGTGGCTTACTCAGGAACAATGGAGGCTATGCAACAATGCCCGGGAATTCATCTGACACACATCAACGGAGAGCAAATTCTCATTTCTCTTCACGAACACATCCCCAGATGACAAGATAGATGCCCATTTGCTGGCATTACTGTATTAAACTTTATATTTATCAGCTAACATCTTTTAAAAGACTGAAGCAGCTGTGTGGTGTCAATGACTGCTTTGTGTATTTACAATTTCTCACTTCTGCTGTGTTCTTGCTTCCATGCCGTAGCAAATTCTGAGCCCAACCCCTTGTCCTCTGATAACTCCTAGTGATACCCCATGGCTCATTTAAGTGACACTTCCCCTAGAAAGCCTCTGACTCCCCCAGGCTCTCATAGTACCATTACTTTTAATTGTTATAATTTCTTCTATAATAATTATCTAAAGTTCTGTCCCCTCCATTAGACTGTAGACTGCTTGAGGACTGGAACATTGTTTTTATCTTTGTACTGCAAACATCTACCACTATGTCAAACGCAAAGCAGGCACGTAATTGCTGAATGGGTACATGGAAGCATTCAAATGAGGACAGTCAGGGAGAACTCAACCAGTCATCCAGACCAGATGGAGACTATAATGGGTGCAAACAGTTAACACGCTAGGCTGCTAGCTGAAAGGTTGGAGGTTTGAGTTCACCCAGAGGCACCTTGGAAGAAAGACCTGTGATCTACTTCTGAAAAATCAGCCACTGAAAACCCTATGGAGCACAGTTCTACTCTGACACACATGGCATAGCCTGAGTCAGAATCGACTCAATGGCAGCTGGTACTGGTATGTAGAACTGAAGTGTTGGGATAAAGGCAAAAGACTTTCCTTGAAGAAATGATTTTAAGACACACAGAAAAGGAAAAAACACTGGTCTTGGCCCTACATAATGGAAAATAACTGGTAGAAGAATATGTCTGGGGCCACTGATAATCCCACTGTAATTCAATTTAACATTCCATCAGAATTGGGGGAATCCAAAACAAGCATCACGTGGTTACTAAATTTGGGGAAAAATGATGGTAATAAACGGGCACTGGAAAAACTGAAAAGGAGTTACTAAAAGCTTTTTATTATCCTCATATTACTGTTTAAAAGCACTTTCTGTTACACTCAGGAAAAATGTATAGTTCAGATCACGAAACAGCCACTGGAACAAAATCCCTATGTGACTCTCCAGCCCAGGGGAAGGGCGTTAGAGGCAGGGCCAGAGACTTGGGACTCAGCACCCCTATGTTAAGTATCAGTGTTGCTACTTACTGTGTCCCCTTGGGAAAGGTCCTGATCAAAGTGAATCCCAGTTTCTTTAGTGGTAAGGAGTCCCTGGGTAGTGCCAATGGCTAACTTGCTCACTGCTCACTGAAAGATTCGAGATCTGAGTCCACCAGAGGCACCTTAGCAGAAAGGCCTGGTCATCTACTTTCAAAAGGTTACAGCCTTGAAAACCCTATGGAGCACAGCTCTACTCTGCCATACATGGGGTTGCTGTGAGGCAGAATCAACTCTATGGCAACGGGTTTACGGTGGAAAAAAAACAGTATCTAGCTTATAGGACTGTTTGAAAGGCACCTAATACAGTGCCTGGCATGCAGTAAGCAATAGGTAAATGGATGATACAGTATTTATCAGAAAAAGAACATCTCTTATTATTATATATTAATGTTGTTATTATTATTATTTTTAATGAAAAACTTGTTTGGTTAAGTAGACCAGGGAAACAGTAGACAGAGGTCCTATAATACGTTTTGTTATCTCTTCCTAGACTTTCCCTACTTGTGTCTCTACTTCTGTGAGGGATAATGAAGCTTTTTCTAGTAAACACAGCACTTGAACTTTGAGCTAAAAGGGCAGCTTTGAGTGTATTTGCTGACAAATGAAAAGGGGCATTGATGATAGCTCCATGACCTCTTCATCAACTTCTATAGCCACCCATGGCTGATTTGATCCGTGGTGGAGTGAGGGTGGAGCCCTGGTGGTGCAGTGGTTAAGAGCTCAGCTGCTAACAAAAAGGTCAGCAGTTTGAATCCACCAGTCACTCCTTGGAAATTTTATGGGGCAGTTCTACTGTGTCCTATTGGGTCTCTATGTGTCAGAATTGACTTGACTGCAATGGTTTTTTTTTGGGGGGGGCAGGGGGAGGGTGGGTGCCGATTATAGTCATAGAGTGATGCATGAGGAACTCACCTGGAATCATAGACCCTCTGAAGATTAGTAGCCATGGCATAAATAAAATGTTAAATGTTTAGGTATTAGGTGCTAGTCTAGACCAGTTTTCACCAAAATGTTTTCTATAAAACGGTTGTCCTGCAAAATACTCGATGCAACAAAATTCCACGGTTAAATAAGTTTGGGAAACGCTACTACTCCCTCTTGGAAATTAAAGGTGCTTAAAAGCTCAGCGGTTAACAGCTTGGCTGCTAACCAAAAGGTCGGCAGTTCGAATCCACCAGCTGCTCCCTGGAAAACCTATGAGGCAGTTCTACTCTGTCCTGTAGAGTCGCTATGAGTCGGAATCAATTCAGCGTCAATGGATAAGGTCATAAAGTCTCTGTCATAACGACTCACCTCTTCTGTTGTAGCATGAAAGCAGTCATAGACATTAGGTAAATGAATGGGCGTGGATGTGTTCCAATACAGCTTTATTTATAGAAACAAGTGGTGGGCTGGAGTTGGCCCAGGGTGGGCAGTAGTTTGCTGACCACTGGCCTAGACTATTAACTGCATTCAAACATTTCCTTTGGGTGAAAATATTTGGTAACAGTTGACAATGGCCATCCTTAAAGATGTAATGTTGGAAGGTTTTTCTTCATGCAGTCTTTAAATTTCTCTGCAAGTACAGCCAGGAGGGCTGAACCAACTATGAACGAACATCAAGAGAAGAAAGGACACTATATACAGGACACTCTTCATGAATACACAGATCTAAGCTACCCAGGAAAATCATCCAAGGGGCTTCTAGGATATATACTCACAGCTTTCCAGCTGCAACTTGCATGTCTGTGTGTCCATGGGGTATTTAGACAGATCCATGTTACATCCAACAGTTGTTGTGATTCTATGAAAGGAAAAATGGGTTCAAAAGTGTGTTATGAAGATGCTATAGAAAGTATTGGACCGATAAACAACATCATGATAAAGGGAGAAAAAATTGAAGTCAAGGATTTCATTCTATTTGGTTCAACAATCAACGTCCATGGAAGAAACAGTCAAGAGATCAAACGATGTATTGCACTGGGCAAATCTGCTGCAAAGACCTCTTTAAAGTGTTAAAAAAGCAAAGATGTCACTTTGATGACTAAGGTGCACCTGACCCAAGCCATGGTCTTTTCAATTGCTTCATATGCATGTGAAACCTGGACAATAAAATAGGAAGACAGAAGATTTGATGTATTTAAATGGTGGTGCTGGCAAAGAATATTGAATATACTATGGACTGCCAGAAGGATAAACAAATCAGTTTTAGAAGAAATACAACCAATGCTCCTTAGAAGCAAGGATAGTGAGACTTTGGTTTGCTTACTTTGGACACATCATCAGGAAAGACCAATTGCTAGAGAAGGACATGATGTTTGGTAAAGTGGAGGGTCCATGAAAACGAGGGAAACCATCAGTGGACGGATTGACCCAGTAATCTCAACAATGGGCTCAAACACACCAAAGATCATGGAGATGGCTCAGGAATGGGCAACATTTCATTCTGTTATACATGGGGTCGTCACAAGTCGGAGCCAATTGGAAAGCAGCTAACAACAATAACAGCAACATAGAAAGTATGTGTTTCTATGGGCCACTGGAAGATGACCGTCATTTTGACTCTTACAGTGAACATGTGGCTTGTAGCCTGCATTCAAAGCATACCTGAGGTTCTCTGTGTCCAACAACACCTGAGAGACTCGGTTAAACTGGAGTCCAGGGTGGAGAAAGTTGGAATGTTTGCAATTCAGAGGCCAAACCTCTGATAATGTCACAGAGGAGAATCATGCATTGGCTTGTTTGAGATGCTTTCACACATAGTTTTTAAATTTAATCTTCATGACAAACTCACGAGGAGCTAGAACATCTATTGCTGTCACTATTGTCACCATTTGACAACAGATGTAGGTGCACACAGCTATTAGTGGCCGAACTGGGACTGAGCCCAGGTCTCCTGGCTGTGCTGTTCTCATAGATTTCTGCCTCCTTGAGGAGATCAAGATACAGAGAAAATGGAGGGCCTCAGAGGACACCAGCCACTTGTTTCTTGGGGCTCAGGCCCAAAGACATTCAATTATACATCAGTTATGCCCTCACAGTGGAGATTTCAATCATTTTCCTTTTTCTTCAGTGTCACACCTTTTCATCATGCACTCCTTATTTATTAAGCACAGCACTGGGTGGTGCAAAAGGTTAACACGTTAAACTGCTAACTGAAAGGTTGGGGGTTTCAGTTCCACCCAGAGGCACCTCAGAGGAAAGGCCTGGCAGTTTACTTTAGAAAAATCAGCCACTGAAAACACTTTGGAGCATAGTTCTACTATGACACATGTGGGGTCGCCACAAGTCAGAATCGACTCAATGGCAACTGGTTCTTTATTCATTAAGCACTATGCTAGGTGCTGGTGGAGAGTGGGAAGTGGAAGTGATTATGGCATGGTGCCTGCCTTGAAGAAGCTTACACTCCCTTAAAGGAGACAGAGAATAATAACCACTGCCACTTGCTAAGTGCTTACCATGAGCCAGTCCCCGGGCTGTGCTTCATGTGCATTATCCCTTTGAATTTTTACAACAGCTCTCCCTGTTAGGAAATATTATTATCCTCATTTCGCTGCTGAGGAAACTGAGGCTCAGAGAGTCAAGTAACTTGCCTAAGGTCACAGAGCTGCTAAGGCACAGAACAGGAACTTGCACCTAAATCTGTCTGACTCTAGAGCCAAGCTATTAACCATCATCTTCTATTTTTAATCCTACAAAAGACAGATTGTGCTATGTGCCGTAATACAGACAGACGTGCACGCACGCGTGCACACACGGGCTGTGGGAACATGGGGAAGAGGGGCGTTAATGTTGATTGGAGTGGCTGGTCAAGGGAGAGGTCTAGTTAGGCTTCTTGAAAGAGAAGTTGGGATTTTGGCTGATCTTTGCAAAGTTCAGTACAGCTAAGGAGTGTCCAATGAAAAATCCAGAAGTTCAGTTTATTGGTTGGCTTGGCCTTTGCTTTAAAACTTCAGCATCCGACTATCATATCTGGGATTAAAGATAATCCCTGTGAGTACTGGTCCCTGGCCTTTTCCCAAAGCCTCTGGGAGCACTGGTTTGAACAGCCCTTAGTGGTGGGGATGGTCTCTGCCTGTGAGCTGCTGCATGTGGCACCTAAAGCATCTTTCCTATTCCAGCCAACTGGTGGCTTGATGAACAATTGGGTAGAAGGAACTTTTGGCCTCATGGATTTGGGGAGGGGACAAGGGGAGTCTAACGCTGCAGGGGGCATTGGCCTTGCTCTGTACAAAAATTACACAGACACATAGAGGTGCATTCTGGAGCTACCCCAGCTTTGCTGAGCCCAACGAAAGGATAGCTCCTTGCATCCAGCTCTCCATTTGCTCTTGCTGTTTGCTTGCTTCTTCCCTTGCTAGCTCCCTTTCACCTTCTAAGACTCGGCTCAGAGTCCCGTGAAAACATCCTCTAACATCACCCCAAACCACCAACCTGCTCCCAACTCAGTTCATCAGCATCCTGGAGCTCCTTTGTTTACACTGAGGGCAGTATCTTATTCAGCTTTTTATCCTCTGGGGTCAGCACACGGCTGGACATAGAGAAGGTGTTCATAGATGCTTGTTGAACTAAACAGACCCAAGAGAAGGCCCTTGTGCTTGGGGGACAAGGATCTAAGGAGGCAGGAGCATGAGTAGCGTAGAACCTCAGAGTGGGTATTAGAGCACTAGTGAGAACCACCCACCATGTACCTGTGCCTCCTCTCCCAGCTACTTCCCCTCCAACCCTGAGGTCTCATATGCCCAATTACCTGAGAGCATACAGGACCGTGCCATTGGAGAAGAGGCGAATAAGCCTGTTTCCCACAGTGACTTCGTGGAGGAAGGATGTCTTGGATTCCACGATGTAAGTATCAGGGACCCAGAGAAAATCTACAAGGCGTGCATCCAGAGTGAAGCTCTTGTTTCCTTCAAACACCAGTCGCTGATCCGTCCAGCGCTGTCGGAGGTATATGGTGGCTGTGTAGTCCTGCAGGGGTAGAAATGAGCGGGAGGAGAAGGATTCTGAAAATGCAAGGAAAGAGGCCAAGTCTTACTCCCCTCCCTGCCTCTGGTTAGATAAAGAGTACATACTACAGTAGATACTGGTGAATCAAGTTATGTTTTGAGGTGGTGGCCTGTAGCAATAAGAGACCGACGATTTATTCTAGATAGTAACTTCCACTGTCAAAGGGGAATACCACAAGACCATGTTCACAGTCTTAACTTATTTGGCATGAAAGCTCATGTTGCCCTCAGATGACAAATGCCCCACCACATTTTTGAAGATTTGGTGGGCTAAGTGCTCGGTTGTCCAGGATTTGCCCAGAATGACACCAGGCCTTCTTAGCTGACTGCCTTTAGTTTTATCTTATGTTTAACTTGTTTTCTTAAGTGAGCAGAATGTTGTAAGCAGCTGTGTGACTGTCAGTTTTCATCAGCTTGTCTCCCATTCTGTGAGGGACCATGTGATACCCAGGCTTCCTCACTGCACTTTAATTTTGTTCCTCAATTTTTATGCCTCACGGAATGTACCCACTCTACTCCCTGGTTTCTCTCCTTCTGGCCTTTGAACCCATTTTCTTTCTGCTATTTAGAAAATCTGTTTTGCAAGATTTTTGGGATAAGTCTGCAGCTTCTGCCCTTCAGAATGGAGGAGGGCTGTAAGTCTTTCTTCTCTGGTTTGAGTGGCTAGAAAGTTGTGAGGTGCAGAAAGCAATTTTGCCTTTTTTTTTTTTTTTTTTGATTGTTGTTGAGAACATACACAGCAAAACATACACCAATGCAATAATGTCTACATGGCAGTTTGGCCTTTTGTTCTGGGCTTCTGAGAGCCGTGACTACAGAGGCTCACCTGGAGGCCCAATTCTGATTGAGCCTCACAAGGTGTGATGTAATTTATCACGGCCAACCGGTGAGGCTGATAAAAGCCATGAGCCCTGAGGCTCAGATGGAGCTTCTTGGTTGGTTTAAGAACGAACATCTGCTCTTGAATGGGTAGCGCATCTCCTGGGAACATGGAAGATTCCCACTGGGACCCTTCCCATGTCTTTATTTATATCCTTTTTTTAAATATTAAAGCTGTTATCACAGTTATGGTGTTTCCCATGAGCTCTGTGAATCATTCCAGTGAATTATAGGACCCAAAGGAGTATTGGGACTGGCTAGATTGAAGTGGAGGGAGTCATGTGGACTCCTGAGCTTACAGCTGGTACCTGCTGACCTGGCCCCAGGTGACTAAGGATGAGAGAGAAGGGCTTTGTGGGCAGCTGGGGTCTAAACTGAACAGGCAAAGGAAGCTGAGATCCCCATAGGATGCAGCTGGCTTGTGCAGTGGGATTTGTTGTCCATCACACAACTTGGCATCAGAGTTGGGTGATATTAGTCTCCGTGGACTGGTTTGCACGAACGTGTATCCCCATTAAATACAAGAACAGTGACTCCTCGGGTGGAATGTGAAGTGATAACACTTACCATGTTACTCTCTGAAATACTAGAAATGCTTGCAATGTCGAGAGTCAGTGCTATCTGAACTGGTTCTCCTAAGAATGAAGAAAAAACAGGAAAGACTTACCCAGAAGGACAAACATAAGATTTCCTAACACAACATTTTGTGCATTAAAAAAAAAACAAACTATGAATTACAAAAGTAATACTTGCTTGTGGAAAAATGTTAAACAATCTAGAAGGATATAAAGTAAAAAGTTAATTTCTACCCTCCCCCTCTTAGGAGGAACCATTGTGTATAGTGTGGCTCCTTTTTCTATAAAAAAAAAATGCACAAATATATAGTTATTTTAATATATACAAGGGACCATGATGTATATCATTGGTGCATAGTTTAAAGAAAGCAGTGGTAAGGTATTTGGTACTTCTTACATGAAAGATTTTCCTATGGCACTTGCAAAGGACTGATCACTTAGAAATTTAACAGATTTGGACTGATAGTATACAGATTTCTTTTTCTTTTTCCCCTCAACTAAGTAGATTTACCACAAGATGGCATTCAAGGTTGCTCATGATTATGCCTTTGCCTACTGCCTGACACTTCTCCCTTGTTTGTTTACCCTCCAGTAACCCTAAACTATTTAGAATTCCAGAACCTTCCCTATTTGGTCCAGGGTACAGACTCTGTTAGAAATCCTGCAGGCTCAGCAGGCAGGCCAGACTCTAGACAGCACAGTCTTAGCTCTCAAGACAAAGACCTTACAGCCGCTGTTCTCAGAAGTCAGGCCAGACAGGGGAGTTTATTCTTCTTCAGGCTGCTGATGTGGAAGGAGAGCCTGGCAGTCAGAGAGATGTGTGCTTAGATCTCAGTCCTGTCACATCCCAGCTCTGCGATCTTGGAAAAGTTACTGCATCTTTCAGAGCTATGATTTTCTCACCTGCAAGTGGGAATAACACTAATGACACATAAAGTCGTGGTGGGGGTAACAATGGGCACATGACAGCTTCTTTGCAGAGAGGTGGCAAGAGGGACTATACGTGAGCCAGGAATCCAGAAAAAAACAGCTGCTGTGGCATCAATTCCAATTCATGGCAACCCCATATGTGTCAGAGTAGAACTGTGCTCCACAGGGTTTTCAAGAACTGATTTTTCAGAATTAGATCACCAGGCCTTTCTTCTGAGGTACGTCTGAGTGGACTTGAACCTCTAGCCTTTCAGTTAGAAGTCGAGTGTGTTAACCATTTATACCACTCAGAGAACGTGCTGATAAATAGTCATCTGTACAAAGTTCCCAGCATGTGTCTGCCATGTAATACATGCCCAATAAATGGCATTTTCCCTCTCTTTCATAGTCTTAGTTACTTTTGGAAAGGAAATCACTGTCCTCACCAGGTTAATAGATGCAATAGCATTCACTTGTGATAAATAGCTGGTGGTGCCTGGGACAATGCATTAACCAGGAAAAGGAGAGGCAGAATTTGAAAGAAGCTTAACAACATTTAATTGGTAGGAGTCAGACAAAGCTACCTGATTAAGGAAACCAAGCTGTGGAATACAGGTAAGATATTTGGAAATGGAGTTTTAGAGCCAAGGCAGTTAAAAAATAATTAAGCATTCATACTTTGTGGAAAAGGGGAAGGTCTTTGATGACAGACATTGGAAGATGCTGCAAGAGTGTGGTGCTAAGTGGCTTTCTGCCCCTCAAGGCAGCATGGTGCAGTGTCAAGAAGAGAAACCTGGGTTCAGACAGAAGTGTTTGAATCCCATGCTGGCCATTTTCTAGCTGTGTGACCTTGAGTATGTTGCTAAACTTCTCTGTGCGCAGTTTTCTCACCAGTGAGATAGTGCTACTGGTGCCTGCCATCAAGGGTTGTGCTGCAAGGTTACAGCATCTGTTTTGAGTCCCTGGAACATGGCGGACAGTTGGTCAGTGTTCATTTTCCTCCCAAAGGAATGTGGAGCATGGAAAATACACCAGAGCTCTGGCACCACTGTGTTTCTGTAAGTTGGTTTCTAGACGGTCTAGTCCAGACCTTGCCTCAGTTGGCTTTTCTATGGACCAGAGCTTGTGCTTTCTTCCCCTTGAGTTATAGAATTTAGCTGTGCCACCAGAGGGCAGCTTTATCCTAGGAAAGAGGTCAAAGCCAATTCCTGGGCAGTGTTTACTGTCACCTGCTTGCAAACCTTTGCTCTGTCCAGCTCAGCCCTTAAAAAATCCTGGGGAGGGCCTGTCTCTTAAGAACCTCAGGGTCCTAGAGCCTGGATGGACAGACATTATAGAGGCTACCACACAAACGGAGGTCCCTTTAAGAGGCAGAGTGCCAGGAGGTTCCTAACAAGGGGAAGAGAAGATGCTGTGCCTTCCCCTCTTTTTGACTGAGGAGCCCTTGCCCCATTCTCACCCCAGAAGATTCTGGGGCTCACATTCCTTCAGTCTACTCTGGCTCCATGTTCTCAGAACGAGCACTTTGCTCAAGGCTCCTGCGTCTTGTTGGCCAGCGAGCAGGTGAACGAGAAGGGCTATGCCCCGGCCTAATTGTTTGGGATTCAGGTGGCAAGAGAAATTGTTGAGTGGACTTAAGCAAGGTATGCAGACTCACATGCTTGTCATTAGTGTTCAGTGGGGTCTAGGAAAGCCAGGGGATTTCAACTCTCTCTAGGTCCCCTCCATGGTTTTGTTGTTGTTAGCTAGCATTGAGTCAGCCCCCGACTCGTGACAACCCTATGCATAATGGAACAAAATGCTGCCGGGTCCTGTGCCATCTCTATAACTGGTTGCAAATCAGACTGTTGCAACACATAGAGTTTTCACTGGCTGAATTTTTGGAAGTAGATCGCCAGGCCTTTCTTCCTAGTCCATCTTAGTCTGGAAGCTTCATTGAAACCTGTTCAGCATCCTAGCAACACACAAGCCTCCACTGATAGATGGGTGGTGGCTGGGCATGAGTTGCGTTGGCCAGGAATCAGACCTGGGTCTCCTGTATGGAAGGCAACAATTCTGCCACTGGAACACCACTGCCGCTCCCTTTAACATAAGGATCTCAAATCCTAATTGTGTGGCCATGAAAATGCATCTCTCAGATCTCTCTGAGGGGAGTGTGACTGACAGAGGGCTCCAGCTGCTGAGCTCTGAAATCTACCATCACATTCTATCACCACATACACGGTGTGTGGGATTTGGCCTACTACTTGGTGTACGGTCCAACTAGTGACCGAGCGCAGCAGGGATACTGAGGCAAGCCTGTCCCGGGAGGCACAGGGATGGGAGACTCTGATGGGCAACTCTGGCTCAAGGACTCCCTGGCAGCTTTCCAAACACACTCAGAACTGCACTGTAGTCACAGACACTTCTACCCAACCCTCCTTCTTTCCCTCTCTCCTTTCCCCGGGGTCAGACCTGCACCACAGTCTGATGGCTCTTCCAGCTTCTCCTTCCTCCTGCCCCATTTTTCCTCACAGATATTGCCCCAAAAATATCTTGGACGGGTAATCTTTTGGCGTCTGCTCCTCAGAGGACCTGGACTAACACACTAATTGTAGATCTGATCAGAGAATTTTATCATCTGAAGGGAGAAGCAGAAAGGGAAAGGGATTAAAACAGAATGCACTCCAATGATGTGGCAGGCACTGCGCTTCATGCTTACACACTTCACCTCCTTCAGTCCTCCCTTGGAGGTAGATGGTGTTTCTCCATTTTACAGAAAGCAAAACTGAGGCTCAGAAAAGCTGACACTCTAGAAGTCAAATTCAGGTTTGTCCAAATCCAAGGTTCTTTCCGCTACTTTCTACTCCATACTGTGAGGATTTAGAGACCACCTTGATTCAAACTCATATTTTATAAATAAAGAGACTGAGACTCTGTGAAGAGGTATGTAGCTGGCCTCATTGCCTTCCTCCTTCCCTCATTCTTTCAACAAATACTTGCTGAAAACCTGCCATATGACAAGCAGTGAACTGCTGCTGGGGTTAGTGAGGTAAATAAGCAAGATTCCTTCAAGGGGCTGCAGCCTAGAGCTGAGACAGATACAGAACCAGCTATAGGTACAGTATAACAAGGGAATGGCTATAATTTGGAAGTATGTTCAAAATAAAGTGTGAAGAATGGGGATGGAGCCTCAAGGAACCAGGGAAGGCTTCTCAGAGGTGGTAGCCTTTGATCTAAGACATGAGGGAAAAATTGACATTTTCTTGGTAGTTTAGTTGGAAGAAGCAATTCCAGGCAGACAAACAGCCTCTGCAAAGGCAGGGAGGCCAGGGAGGCCAGGAGCGTTCTGGGCACACTTGCGGAGCAGCGTGGGAGGTGCAGGTAGAGGGGTGCAGGAAAATGAGCCTGGCAGACAGATACAGCTGGGCTATGAAGGGCCTGGTGTGCCCTGAAAATGGCTCTGGAGTCTATTCTGAATATGCTGGGGTGCATGCAAGTGTTCTGGGCCGGCAAATGACCCAAGGTGGCGGCCATTCAAGTTGCAGTGTGGGAGATTAGCCTGCAGGGGGCAGGCTAGAGGCAGAAAGACGAGGTAGGGTGGTCCTGGTGAGAAGTTGGTGAGCCCCGTGAATAGACATTGGAAGTGGGCGCAAAAGGAAGAAAGACTGTGTATGAGAGGCTGTTAGGAGGCTCTCGTAACTCCCTTAGCGGGGAAGAGTATTTCCTTATCCTGCAGCTGGAGAGGCAAAGTGCTTTCTCCAAGGTAGCATGAAGAATCATTGGCAGTTTTCCTCATGCATCACTGCCAATCCTTAAGCAGGCTGCAGAGGAGAAAAGCAAGTCAACCTCCTGGAATCCTCCACTGGATATTGTCTCTGTTCCTGCCCTTTAGAATGGATGTCCTGGACAAAAAGGATGACCTACCGCCAAAATTAGGCCTGAGGAATTTGTTATATCCTGCTGTGAGGTTGTCAAAGCCAGGCAGGGAAAGCTTGTCACTTCTGCCTACCTCGACGTTAAACCGATTCCCCTGGACACACAATCTGAAAAAGAGAATGGGTTTTGGTATGTATGCTTGCTCATGCAGGCAGAAACATGGATACATAGGAACTTGAGCTTGTGTTTGCACACGTGTGTGTGTGTGTCTTGTGCCCTTGTACCTGCAGTGACTTTCCCAAAGAGAAATCTCAAATTTTAATCAGAATGGCGTGGTAATTCGGGAATCCTCCAAGTGTCTTCTCAATAAACACAAGGGATTCATCCATCTATGACCATTTGGTAAGCTTGAGTTTTCTAGACAGAACAAATTTGTTGTTGTTGTTAGCTGTTATCAAATTGGCTCCCAACTCATGGTGATCCCATGTACAATGGGATTGGACCATTGTGATCCACAGGGTTTTCATTGGCCAATTTTCAGAAGTAGATTACCAGGCCTTTCTTCCTAATCCATCTTAGTCTGGAAGCTTCACTGCACCCTGTTCAGCATCACAGCAACACACAAGCCTCCACTGATGGATGGAGCATTGGCCGGGAATTAAACCCAGGTCTCCCACATGAAAGGTGAGAATTCTACCACTGAACCGCCACTGCCCTCTAGACAGAATAAATGGCAGGACATATTATTGTTCTTTTGCTGCAGGGAGGTGAATGTCGAGGTTTGCCTTACTGTTGGTGAGTAGAAAGAGCTGCCAGCCCTCCCACCGCGTACCTATACACAAAGTGATTTAGACAAAGGCCATTTTGGGGATAGCAAAGTTCACCTCTGAGTGAAGAGACTTAGGCACGTGAAGATCAAGCGGAGGCTGCAGCTCATGTTGAGGAGCTGCTCACACAGGGCAAGGTCAAAGCAGGAATCACCTGGGGAAAGAGATGGGGCAAGGTGGGAGGCAGAACGTCCAAAAGGCTCACCTATGTCCAGGCCAGCTTCTCTCCCCTGTGACTTATCAGTCGCAGCATTTACTCAACGTATGTGGGGAACAGCCTCTTTCCATACCTTTTGGTTACAGATTCTGGTCCACACATCTAGAAATGGCTCCATTTTTGAGGATTACATTTCAAGTCCACCCTAAATAAAGACTGAGACTTTGTTTAGAGAGTGGCTCACCAGCCCCAGAAATGCAACCAGTCCATTCTGTGCTGTGTATCTGGGGAGCCCCATGACTGAACTTGCCTTGTCCTTGTCCTGACCTTACCCTGTTGTTCTGAATTTACCAGGAAGGACACCCCAAATGTACACTCATCTCAACTGAGCCAGACATTCTCTTATTTATCCTAAGATCTATGCTTGTTAAGCAGGTCACGTAGACAGGAAATGAAAACTTTCTGAGAACCTTTCATGGGCCAAGTAATGTATCCTCACAATAGCCTAGTGATGTAGGCAGGATAATCCCTGAATTACAGATGAGGACACAGGGGCTCGTGGAAACGACACCACATTAATGGATGCCAGAGGAGACTTTAATCCAGGGCTGACTGCCTCGTTGTCCAGTGCTCTCTTCCTTCAGGAATGATGCCTTTGTCAGCCTGAGGACACTCGCCGCTCTCAGAAGCCTCCCAGACCTGATACCCAGGTGCTCTGGAGCCATTCGGCTGATGTGGGTGAGCATGGTGTGTGTGTGAGAACCGTCAGGTGGGCATGGCTCAGGGCCTGGTCTGCTCAGGTTTGGGAGCTGCTATCAGCTGTTGCTCTGAGAGAGTAGCTGGACAGTGAGGCAGGCAAGTCTGTGCACTATCATGCTGGTGACAGCAAAATGGGGGTTCGCAGGCATGGGCTCAGACTTGTCCCCAGACAGTCCCAGGGCGTATCATCCCCTCTTCTGTGGTAACCCCTGTGAATCGGGCCACTTCCTCGAATCTAGCCATTCTGGAAGAGCCCTGGTGGTGCAGTGGTTAAAGCGCCTGGTTCAAACCCACCAGCTGCCCTACAGGAGAAAGATGTAGCAGTCTGTAAAGATTACAGCCTTGTAAACCCTATGGGGCAGTTCTACCCTGTCCTATAGGGTCACTACGAGTTGGAATTGATTTGACAGCAGTGGGTATGGGAGTCATTCTGGGATTCAGGGTGTGATTCAGCAATTAATTAACTCATATTATTTTAATAACGAAACCAGTACATGTTCACTGTAAAAATAAGAACAAGACAGAAGTGTGTGAAGATGAAAGTCTAGGTTCTTCCCTCTCTTCTCTCCACTCTCACACCTCAGAGATAACCACTGTTGACTGCTGGTTTTTCCACACATACACACATATACGGATGTACGCTTATATCCCTGCCTGAACGACAACCACAACAAAATTAAAACGCAAAATTGGCTTGATACCAAGCATATTTTTCTGCCTTTACTTTTTTTCACTTCACAAAAATAATAGCAAACATTTGTTGACTGCTTAATGCGTGCTTGCACTGTGTTAAGTACCTCACAAATCCTCGCAACAGCTCTTTGAAGTAGCCACTATCATTCTTCTCATTTTATAAGTCGGGAAACTGAGGCTTAGAGAGGTTAAGAAATGTTCCCAAGGCGACAGAGCAAGTGAGGAACAGAAATGAATCCAAGCAAGCAGATCAAAGCACTATTAATCACTGCACCACACTGGTTCCCCATATCAGCGACCCCTTTCCATACCAATCCATTTGATCTGCTGCATTATTTTCAATGGCTGTAAAGTATTTCATAATATAAATGTACCAGCATTTATATAACAGATGTCCTATGGAGGTCCCTGGGAGGCACAAACACTCTGCGCTTGATACTAACCTAAAGATGGGCAGTTCAAACCCACCCAACAGTGCTGCGGGAGAAAGCCTGGTGATCTGCTTCTGTAAAGCTTACAGACAAGAAAACCCTATGGAGCACAGTTCTGTTCAACACACATGAGGTCGCTATGTGTCTGAATTGACCCAACAGCAATGGGTTTGAGGTTATTTGGTTTTATTTATGGGCACTAGCTTATTTCTGCGTTTTTTACTGTTGCAAAATCAGTAATGAGTGTCTTTGCGCATATGTAAGCTCCTCTCATTGTGAGCTCTGTCATATATCTCTACCTCAGTTTTTTCCTTCCCACTCATCACAAATTTCAGGTATAAAATCAGCTTTATTGATCTACTGATGATCATATTCACATCATCTTCTTTTAGTCCATCTCCCCAATCCTTGTGCTTCCCCCATCCCCAGCATCAAGTTTAAGAAGGTCCATAAAGTGGCTCCCATGCCCTCCATCCCTTCATCCAATTTTCCCAAGGTTTAACAAGCTCCTTTCAGACCAGGCACACTTGGGGCACCACCAGAGTGCCTCTAGTGGAGCAGAGAGGTGTATAAGCAGTGAAGTGATGTTCCCTGTGACTGTCCTATAACAGGGCCAGAGGTAAAGGGATACTTGGTATACTAAGGAAGCGAGTGGTCAACTCCACCGGGGGAGGATGGAGCAGCCCAGGATAGAAGTCATAGAGAAGGTCATCTGATTCTGGAACAAAGTGTTGCATTTACTAGGTGGACAAAAGAGGGCAGTGGGCCCTCCAGACATTGGGCAAAGGTATGGACGCTTCCCCATGGCCACTCTTCTACCCGCTGATGCTCAGCCTCTTCCTCCCAGCCCACAGCATTCTGAGACTTCGTTCTTCCTGCCCCATAGGCCTGAAGTAGCTCTTTTCTCATTTTGGGATGTTTCTCAACTCTTTCTTCTCCTATAGGAAACTGCCCTTGATCAAGTAACTTAGGGAAACCTCTAGTCTTCAGTTCCAAGACCACTATCAGATAGTGCTTTCCCTGTGGTCAATCCTACATTAAAAAACAAAACCAGTTGCCGTTAAGTCAACTCTGACTCATGGCAACCCCATGTATGTCAGAGTAAAACTGTGCTCCATCAGGTTTTCAATGGCTGATTGTTTGGAAGTAGATCACCAGGACATTCTTCCAAGGTGCCTCCGGGTGGACTCTAACCTTTCAGTTAGCAGCCAAGTGTGTTAACGGTTTGGACCACTCAGGTACTCAACCCTACGTTAGGAAGAGAGAAAGTTTGGACCTTGGGCAAAGAGAATCATGCTAGGAGAAGACTTGCCCAGGCTGGAAATGTGATCTCACCCCAGATGGCCTGCTCTGGTTAGGCTTCTGAGCATGCCTTGGTTTATAATGGAAGGAAAAAGAAGTAGGGAAAGCAACTGACATCCTCTGAATGCCTGCTATGTTCTAGGTGTTATGTTTGGCACTTAATCTCATTTAATTGTTGACCATCTTGCCCAGTAGGTGTTAACTTACATAGCTGAAGCTCAGATTGGTGAAGGAATCTGGCTGAGATCATATAGCAATTAAGAGGCAATGGTTTGAACTCAGGTTTTCCAAACCCCTGTTCTCTGCACTGCATCTGGGAAGAGTGCTCCAGCTTCCCAAGCAGTGTTCCACTTGGCGCTGGTCTCTCTTACACCAAGCCCATCTCTGGGGTAGAGTGCTGCATCCACAGCACATCCCAAGTGGCTGTTCAGCTGATGCAAGCACCCCACGTGGCAGAGGAGCCAACCATTAAGTGAAAATTAGTGTATCTGCCAGTCTGAAGGGAGTATCAGGCCATGGATTGTGTGATACAGTTGAGGGGAATGGCACTTAGCAGAGCAGTGCACTGAGCCACCAGAAGGGAGTGACCTGAGGGCCGTCCCTTGCAGTGGCAACGCTGGAGATTCTGGCTGGACCCATCTAACCTTCAGCACTGCAGGGAGCATAGTATTCACAGCAAGATCGCAGGTCGAGGAGGCTGCAGAGTAGGAAGCAGCCTCCAAGCTCTTACCCTACCCAGAGTACCTCCAGAGGGGATCTCTGGTCAAAATCCTCCTCTACTTGTACAGGAGAGCTTGAGCTTTTGATTTGGACACATTTAACTTCTCTGAGCCTCAGTTTTCCCATCTGACAAATGGGAATAGAAAGCACTATATACTTCAGTTTTCATTCCTCTTCATGTCTTTCTTGGGGTCTTCAGTGATCTCACTGTGAGTGTGAGAACCCAAAGCTCAGACTCCTTATATTGTACCCCATGCTGCCACCCATGGTGTGAGCTGCTGCAGCGCCATTTTGGAGGCACTTAGATTGGCATGGTGTCAGAGACAAGACATTAGGGAGACCTGGTGGCACAGTGGTTAAGAGACAGGCTGCTAACCAAAAGGTCGGCAGTTCAAATCCACCAGTTGCTCCTTGAAAACCCTATGGGGCAGTTCTACTCTGTCCTGCAGGGTGGCTATGAGTTGGAATCAGCTCAACAGCAATGTTTAGTTTTGGTTTTTTTAGGTGGCTGATGGCACCCTTTTCTGGACTGGCTCTGAGAAGTGGAAGTAATTCCAGTATGTTCAGGTTTCTACTCCCGTTCCCAGAATCTCCATCGTACAAATACTGTGAGCCGCACACTTGTCACCCTCTAACCTCCCTCCTACTCATTTCCCTGTCCTCAGCCACATCAGCCTAGACAGAATCATTTATTGGCAAGCAAGAGTAGAGCCTGAATTAGGTTATATTGAGAAAAGGCAGTATAACCATGGGCCCTCCTTAAGAGCAATCCCACAAGAAAAAGTTGTCTGGAGGAGTGCCCTGTGTCTGCTGGTCTTGCCTGGTTGCTGCAACACGGAGGAACAACTCTAGTATCAGACGGAAGTGGCTCTTATCTTGGCTCTGCTGTCTGCTCTGAGACCGTGTTACTACTCCCTGAGGCTCAGTTTCCTCTGCTGCAAAATGGGATAGTAGTCAATAGACTGTATATGTGCCTGACACAGATTAGTGCTCAGCAAATTTTGGGCCCTGTCCCCTTCCCTCAGTCTCACCAGGGCTTGTATCTGGATCTCCTTCCCTCCCATCACCCAAACCCCAGGAGGGGCCAGCAGTTCCCTTACCAGGC